TGGGGGGGGGGGAGGGGTGGAGGTGAGATTGGTTGCGGTGGGAGCAAGCAGGACGGCATCGAAGGGTGCGGGGAGAATCGCGCCCCACGCTCGGGAGCGGTGGGCGACACTGTGTCGTTCGAGCTTCCCCTACACCATCGATCTTCCACTATACCACCCACTGCTCGAAAACCCATTACTTATGTGTTTTCTTTTCTTTACGTTCTGCACCTAAAGGGGGAACATCTGAACAACTTTGACCGTTTCGTGCAGGGCCAAATAAGTCCAAAGCTGTCGGCGAGAGGCACGCACCCAAATCACTTCATCAATCTGTTTCCTCACGACAAAGCAAATTTACCCCCTTCGCAAAGACACAACCAGGAACTCAGCGAAACATCCGTGCGCTGAACGGAACAACATCGACGATGGCGAGCGCAAATGCTCCTCAGAACCTCAGAACTAGGCACGGTAGAACACCAACAACTGCTCCTACTTGTACACGCGATGGAGCCACCTCCACACCTTCGCCAAGACGCTTGGTCCTCAATCTCCATGAAGCCACCCTGCCCGTGCCACGTGCCGCCAGAGCACCCGTTCCCCGTGCAGGCGAATCCCACCCTCAGGTTCTCCACGTCGAAAAGGGTGTAGTACGCCTGCCAAGGTGGGGGGGCCGTGGTAAAGCTTTAGGGGCTCGACGAGGCACAGCTCGAGCTGATATTGCATCATACGACATGCGAGATACATGGCGCAAGACCAATAATGACACCGTCAGACCACATGGTCGCCCAACCAACGGATGCTCTCGGCTTCCAACACAACGTGCAAACGAAACTCACAACACATGTTAGCGATCTACCAAAGAACGTGATCCTCAAATCCCAGAAACGAAAAGATAACTTTTCTGAGTATTACCTCGATAAAAACATCCCCGAGGATCCAAAAATTGCCGCCGAAGCTCGGCTGCAGCTTCACCACGCAAACGCCCCAGCGGCTGCACACGGTATAGTCCTCTCCCCGCAAAATGAACTTGTTGGAGGGGTACAGCTCGAACATCTGACGAAAGGGCAGCAGCGGTTACAGGGCGGGCGGCGCAATTCGGCGGTTACGTTCCAGAGGACACGCGGCGCAATTAGGCGGTTACATCCCAGGGGGCAGGCGGCGTAATTGCCAAGAGTGGTAAAATACGTCCAAAGTTGCTCCAGTGCCCGTAGGAACAACTGTTGAGCGAGCGACCACAAAATTAAATTCACAAGAGGTGCTTGAATGAAGCTGCCGGGGAGGGTGTGTTTCTCGAAACTCCCACCACATACGTTCACTTCGACACACTGGCAGTGTGCGGAAGAGAAAACATTATATCCAGGAAAGAAGAAATCACCAAACACATCGGACTCAACAGGAAAGCAGACATCTGCCCGTTCGGGTTTTTAGATGGAGCGGGCAGCCTACAAACAGACGGCCGCCAGACGATTGAGACAGACATCTCGATGGTATTACGCTCCGTACTACTACAATATCCCGCACGCATCGACGATATCCACAGGTCGTTGGCAAAAACTACCAACACCCATCCGACCGCCATCCATTCTTCAGAAGAAACTGTGTATACACTATCAAGCGACAAAGGCAGGTGGGCGGTACTTACCAGGTCAGGGAAATCGGAGCCCTTGGTACTGTAGCAGGTGGTCCCCTTGCACGATGCTCCGCTGGCCTCCGTGATCTGTTCCGCGAGCGTGTAGAAGTAGTCCTCGGGTACGGCAATCCCTGTGCGTCAAGTGTCCGTGTCAGCGTCGGTGTGTCGCGTAGTTTCGAGGAGAGTAGAAGAAGGAAATACGCCAGGGGATTAAAGTGAACGTCATTATGGATCACGCATCAGAGTGGGGCTCGTGCCGACTTGCGCTTGCCCCACAATAGGGGATCAAACCCCGACTCATTCACCACATGTCGGGTCCGAGATTGGGTCAAAAGCTCGGAGAACGCTGGAGGCGGTGGTTGTGTAAACAAAAATGCGTTGGCGATCTTCACCTAGACGGCAACAAACTGCGTCGAGGAAGGGAGAGTATCATGCGAGGAAAAATAAGCCAGGGAAAGGAGGGGGCGCCTGGCAGGGGTAGTACCAGCACACACGCGCGCGGAACCCCCAATCCGCAAGCGAAAAGGCAGGGGGAGGGTAAAGAATGTCACCCCAAACCCTTTAGACAGCAGCACGAGGTGTCCACCAAGAGGTGTCCACCAATGTCGAGAAAGCGGACGCCACGCAGCCAAGCGAGGAGGGGTGGTACCGGTAACAAAAGGTTGGAGGGGGTATCTGTCGCTACTGTAGAAATGAAGTCGTTGTGTTGCTTCTTGTTGTAGAAACTATCTGTCGATAGAGACGGAACTCGGTTGAGTTGCTGCCTGATACCTATCTGTCGGTGCTGTTTGTTAATTGTGTCTGTTAATTATCTGACGGTAGAGATGGAGCCTGTTAAAAAAAAAAAACAACGAGCGTTTCGCAACCGCTGAAGGCGTTCCTCTCACCCGAGGTCCCCGTATCGACGATGGCGTAGCAACCGGAGGAGCACAGATTCCCTTCTTCCGAACCACCCAAGTAAGGAATTTCGTAACCTTCGGCGGGCTGTTCGCCAGCCGACGCCTCTTCTTCCGCCGTGTCCGCGAGGGGTGAGCTGGTCACCATAGCCATGGCCGTCATTTTTACCGTCCAATATCTGCGCAGCACGCGCACGTTAGTATTCGCGGATCCCGTGAGAAAAGGCGGTGGTGTTTGAGCCGAGGGAGGTTGTTGTTGTCTTCACATTGAAAACCATTCCGATTTCTCTACCCAGTGCCTTCATCTATCCGCACTATTCCAGTCTAACTCTTGACGCGGCCGATTCCCGTTGTCACAGGCTAGCTTACCCTAAAAAGGTATACTAAAACAGATAGTGGCAAGAACAAAGGCGGTGGGATTTTGAGGGGAGTGGGTTAGTCGCAAGAAGCAAGGTGCCGCGGTCGTTGCGGGGTAAGAAATGGGGTATCATGCCGTTTTCATGCATCTCGAAACACAAGAGCGTTTTGGGAAAACAGTTACCACGTGTTTCGATCTGGAGCTATCAAAACGACAGGTGTGGTCAGCTTTTGTTTTTCAGGGAAGGGAGGCGGGTGTGTGGGAGAAAGGGGGTCGTAAGCCATGTGCATACTTGAGTTGGCCTCGAGAATGTGGGATGAGGGGGGTGTAGTGCCAAGGGGCGCCTTCGGAAAGGATGCTCAGGTCATAGCTGCCGAACAGCATGTGGTTTGGTTTTTCCCTGGCATATGGCAACAATAGGGACAGGGAGGGGGAAACGGGTGGTGCAATGAGTGGGGTGGTAGGGGGGGGGGGCACAGTCTGCTGCGAGTGGGAGTAGCAACCGTGGAGCCATGGTCCACACAAGGTGACAACCTCACAAAAAGAAACCTCCCTTTGGCACAGAACATCACACCCCGGTGATACTATTACTTGCAAGGATAAGGTTTACACAGAACACCACAGGTGATAGTAATTACTTATGAAGGTACCGTATCACCGGCAGTGCTGTCTTGAGTGGAACACGGTACACAGTCGATATGTGGAACGGATGTCAGGCGGAGAAATGACATGCGCTTGCCGTAAGACTGCACCGAAACAACGAGGGTAGTCGCTTTGCCCGCTGAACCGAAGGAGAGACTTCATGCACCTCCTTCCTTTCGGTACAAAACTCATACATGTGGGCATACTGTTTCTCGTTGCAGCCATCATTCCCCCGCGCTGCTCCTACCAACCATTTGGCGGTTGCTACAACTGCTAATACAGGCCGATACTATCAGGGAGCAAAGCAATCGAGTAACCAAGCAGCCACCCAACCAAGCCAACCAACCAACCAAAGGTAACCAAGCAAAGTAACTCTCCTCAATCAAGCAACCAAGCAGCCACCCAACCAAGCCAACCAACCAACCACACGTAACCAACCAAAGTAACTCTCCTCAAATCAAGCAACCAACCAGCCAAAAGTAACCAAGCAAAGTATGCATAACTCACGTGTCCGAGGGGTCGCACGACAGGTAGACGCTGAACACGTTCGGCACCTCCGGGTGGTCTCTGTGAAGGAGCTCTAGCAGCGTCGGCGTCGTCACCATGCTCAGACCGACAAACCCGAGCCCCGCGATCCCGTCCATCATGAACGTTCGGATCTGCCGTTTCATATTGTTAGAAAATTCGTAGGGGGTGTCGGTACCGTCAATAGTAGCGGACACAGGCGGGGGTGGTTTTGCAAAAAATGCGTGGGAAGATTTTTTCGGCGGTAAGCGGTTTTTCGTGTTTCGGTGATACCGCCTTGGGGGAATGGATTTCAAGCTCAAGAGCCTCCTGCTTTTAGCGCAACCCTGGGTTTGTTCTTTTGTGTGGGTTGAATCAACACCTACGGTATACCATATCAACACCTACGGAATACCATGTCATCGCCTACGGTATTACATATCAACACGCGGATGGGTTCCAAGTTCTTATCTTTCGACAAACTTGAAACCCTGGTGGTCTTTGATGAGTGCGGGCGCTTAATCCGATCTACAGTACACACCGAAAATCTCAACGTCCGGAGGAATTTAAACCGGTGCCGTGAAAATTTCAACGACGAGCGCTGATCTCTCCGTCTTGAGAGCGCATCCAAAACTACCCTCAAGACCGAACCAAAAAGTCCACCCACCTGTTGATCCTCGCCATGTAGCGCGGGGCGCTTGATAGCGCGGTGCACTTGATAAATAGCACATCTAAGGCAACTCGCCGACTGAACCGATAAGCCCACCCACCTGTTGGTCCTCGTAGAGCACAAGGCCGAACAGCACTTGCGACAGGTCTAGACCAGCCAGGCTAACGTCATCGACCCCCTCCATGCCCAAGACGCTACCGCTACCGTAGTCGACCTCGAACATCTTCGGCTCCACTCCGGCCTCCGCTGAGTTCCCGCCGTCCTCGGTGAGGAGGCCGAAGGTGCTCGACCTGGACACGCGGAGGAATTCGTGAGACGCAAGGCAGGTTAGGGACAATCAACTACAGGTTGGTGGTGGGAGTATCGTGAGACGTAAGGCAGCCTAGCGATAAATCAACTACAAGTTGGTGATGGGAGTATCGTGAGACGCAAGGCAGCTTAGCGACGATCAACTACAGGTTGGTGATGGGAGCGTGCAGCAGCATGAAGGTGCCTGACTCAATCACTCATTCAACTGAATCAATGACACCGAGAGGCCCCGAAAAAAAAGAGTAACACAAGGACATCGAGACCCTCGGTATTCGTTGGTTTGAGCTTTCTCAACACTCACATGGAGCCGCCGACAGTGGCGTAAACCTCGCACGCCGTTCAGAAAAAACATCACAAGAAAAAAAATGCCAACGAGGAGCTCGAAACGCTCGTTGAACCGTTGTTTTGTTGGGCTCTCTCGGCGCGCACTTGGAGCCGTCGAATTTCCGCACGCCACGAAGATAAAAAAACGCAAACAAGCAAACAAAACATGCACACAAGGACATCGAAACCTTCGATACTCGGTGGTTTCTTGCGTTCTCTCGGCACTCACTTGGAGCCGTCGAAGGTGGCGTGATTCCCGCACGCCGTGCAGCCCATGCCGGGTATCCACAGGTCGCTGGAGCCCGTGTCGAGGACCACGGAGAGGTACTGTGGGGGGGAGCCGATGCCGATCATCCCCACGTACTGGTTGTTGTAGTAGTCCACGAGGGTCAGCATGTTCCCTTCGTAGCCCTCCTCCCCCTCGGCGTCGGACAACCCCTCTCCCCCGCCACTAGAAACGCCTTCGTTTTCTGCTGGAAGTAGTACGGGAGGAGACAGATAATCGTTCCAATCAGGGTGTGTGTGACAAGCAAACTCATGGATCTATGTATACTACTCCGATATGCCTTTTTCAAATTTCGACAATTTTTACATATCCCCGTCACCCAGTTCTTACAGTAGAAGCGCACTGGTAGTCAACATACCGTGTGTGACACAAGACACACCCTGGGCCGATTTTCAAAGCTCGATCTACTTCATCATGAGAACAATGACGAAAAAATCGAGGGATAGGTTTTCGGCAGTTCTCGACGAGAAATCAACATCGCTATCTTCGGCGCCGCCACTCTTTCTGTCTTCGGGGGAAGGGGGGGGGTGTTATCTTATGTACTATAACCTACGGCGATACCGTAGGTTGCAAAATACATCACACCGCGTGGGCCAATTTTCAAAGCTTGATTACCCGGCTGAGAAAGCAGTGACGGTGCCGAAAAAAAGGCGGAGTTGGAACCGTCGTGTCGAGAGCTTTCCGAACACGCATCGTTTGCCTTCGGTATCCTCTTAGTCGTGCAGAAATCGAGCTTTGAAAATCGGTCCAGGGGGTGTTTCTATCTTATGCAACCTGCGGTATTCGATTCGTGGTGCTGTCCCCTCCCGAATCTGACACCCGCACTGGACACGCTGCTGGTTTTCCATCAGCGACAAACAAAGAATGACAAAGACCTGCCCTATACGCCAAAGCCTAGATGGCGAAGACGTACTGGTTGGGCTAAAAAATACACTTGGGGAATGGAGCACCATCTCAAGATGAGAAAAATCGGTTCAGACCGGCATCGACTTTGTGGTAAGCTTTAGTGCAAATATCAGCTGGTATTCGAAGTAGCGTCTAGCAGGTGAGCCGTTTATTGGCATGGTCACAAGAACGGCATGTGGTCTCATCCGGGCGAACGGAAAATACGGCAATGGCAGAGGGGGAAACTAGCTCTCGACACGACACGAAACCCACTCCAGACCGTTGCAGGAGCAACAAATCTACTTCGAGTAGTCCTTTTTTCTATTATTATAAATATCTGTCACTTGAGAGATGTCGTACGGCAGTAAAAAACGATCTGATCCTTTTCGACCGACAGTAGCTGTACGGGGGGCGCAGCGAACGCTGCTGCTGCTGCTGCATGTCATCCATCAGGGAAGAGGGGCGCCATAGACGCGTGGACCCTCCACATGTGCCCCGTGTCACCCACTCCAATTTTCCCTCTCGTGTTTCGAGAAGTTGCCATTGAGAAGTGTTTATAGCCGGTGAACAGCGCTCTACACTTCACGGCACTGTGTGAGTGAGTGGATCCCCTTTTCAGTGTCGTGAAGCTCTACCATAGGCAGCTGTAACAACGGGCGAAGAAGAGCTCAACCCTCCTTCGCCGCATCGCCCCCAGCCGAGGGTAGAGACCACCCACCCACACCCAGCAGAACACAACCGGACGAAGTAATAGTGATAGTTCATTCTTACATGACAAATAGGGCTGCACGGTTTGCGCGGAACACGCGGTTGCTTAAGCTCAAGCAAATGCGGGACAGATCAGATCCTTACAGATCGAGTTGGCATCTATCGAAGGTTACGCCCCTTGTAATCGGTAGGATATCGGTGATCTGTGTATGTTTGCCCGAGGTGACTTGAAGGACATAGGTGATCTGCGTATGTGTGCCCGAGGTGATGTGAAGGACGTATGTGAAGGGGTGTGTTTGACCGAGGTGATGTGAAGGACAGAAATGATCGGGTAATATGGTTTTATGGTATGTTTGATCCATGGTGATCTGAAAGACAGGTGATCGGGGTGTGTATGGATGAGGTGATCTGGAGGAGATAGGTGACCGGGGTGTGTATGTTTGCTCCAATGCGAGCTGAAGGACATAGATGATCGGGGTGTTTTTGGATGAGGTGATCTCAAGGACATAGATGATCTTGAGTATGTTTGGATGAGGTGGTCTGAAGCAAGGCTAGGTTCTTCACGCGAGCAAGGCTAGGTTGCTCACCCCACATCTACCCTACCTAACCCTAACCCTCATCCACGGCCAAAGCACGGCCTAGCGGCCGCGAACTGGGCGGCAAGCGGCTGCGCCGCTTGCTCGGAATTCGGAACGGGGAGAGGGCGCTGGAGAGGAATCGGCCGCCAGAACCAACGCCGAACAACGCCCGACCAATCAGAACGCGTTAGTCCCTAAATATATCTAGTATCAATGTGTAAACACTACTCGTCGTATAGGCTGGAGGTAACCATGGTGCTGTTTGTTACACCTCTCTTCGAAAACGCACCGAGCTTCTAGATAGGGCCGGCCCGCTTTGCTGCACGGTACGCCCGCCGCTTGAGGTGACTCATGGGGGCTTGGGGACGTGTGGGGGCCACAGCGGTGCACCGACGATGTGCTATGCATACGCAAGGCAATCGATCGACAGCAGCGACACTCTTATGCATAAATGTACTGCTGCTGTGCCCGGCATTTCAGAAACTCTGCACACATAGGACAAGTCATGAGCTATTGTAGCTTACCTACGTCTTGCAGATCACCATGGAACAAATATACCCCGACCACCTATGTCCTTCGGATCACCCATGGGAGCAAACTATAGCCGGATCACGTACTGTATGTGCTTCAGTTCACCTCGGGCAAACATACCCCTACCACCTAGACTCTTAATGCAGATGCCTCTCTCAGCCTCCCAGATAATCTCATTGAAATACAACCCGATCAACATCGGTTAGTCCTAAAGAGTTACTATCAATAGTGTAACCAAGGCTCTGTACGACGGACGTCTGTTGTACTTGTACTTGTGTACCTGGTACCAAGCACATTCGTCCCAAGTCCGTCCGATTGGACCTGTCTTGTAGCGAAAGGAAACAACCCTGCTTTTTCTGGGTTTGACACCAAAACGTCAACAAAAGATTGTTGCCCCTGCCACCCACAGGGGAGAAATCGCGGTGTGCTGCTCGGGAAGCCGTACCAATTACAGGTAGTTTCCGCTGACGCTACAAGCATGAATTCACTGCTATAATAGTCGATCATATTGTAGAGTCTTCTCTATGGATAGAGATGGAATCGTTGTGTCATACTTGAACTATAAAGAAGAATAAATAAAAGTCTGTGCGTCGAAACTAGGACAAGCGCCCGGTGCGGTCAGACTCGACAATGCAATGGTTTGCCCCCCTGCTGTTGTGGTCCGTGGTTTGTGCTAATGTACCCTTAGTCCTTTCAGGTTGTCTCTCTCACCTGCTGTTGCCCCGCCAGCCCCGTCAAGCTCAAGTCTCCGACGCGAGATACCCTCATCGCGCACATCCACGCCGTACACGGCACCACCCGCTCTGGCCCGCCTCGTGAGCGGGACAAACCGCCTCTGCTGCTGCTGCTGCTGCTGGGCCGTCGCACCCCCGCCCTTGTCGGCCTCGCTCTTGTTGTCGCCATCCTCGAGCGATGGCATCGATGCTGTTTCGCCGCCCGCGGCGGCTACGAGGTGCACATGTGCACGCTCTGCCAGGCTGAGTCGTGCCAACGACCCCAGGAGAGCAGCGACCGCGACAAACCCTTGTAGTTGCGGCCGTGGCCGCGAACGTCGAGCTGGCATGGTGTGACGCTCCTCGTTGTGTGTGTGTGCTACAGCGGTAGGCCCGATCACGGTTGGGTCTACCAAACTACCCGTTCGGGGAACTTTCCCGAGGAAACAGACAGCCGAACAAACAAATACACACCTCTCTCTCGGCTAGGTTTTACAGTAGCTCCTCGCGAACCTGTTGCTCCCTCAAGCTTGGAAGGGACCAGAGGCCAGGTCCAAGTGAAGTGGGGTGGTAACGCCGTAACGTCCCGCACTGTGGTAAGCAGCTTGGCATCGACAACAACAGACACGCCGCTAAATGACAACAAGGGGCGACGCGGTTTACGTAGAGGACATGAGCATACGTGGCAGAACAACAACAAATTTGCATATGACGGGGTTACATGTGACATTTGCAGGTGTGGTACGCCAGACCACACGGCCTCTGCTTGTACACTAGGCCACACAGGTCAGAGGCCTGCTGGCTTCGTTAGAAAAGGCACAGCTCCACGTAAGGAGCTTGTGTGCAGTTTGTGTCCTTGTTGGACATTGTTAGTTCTGAAGAAGGGAAAGATCCAACAGACTACAGGAGAACATTTGTTGTACAGCCGCAGCAGCAGCTAACCGTAACGGCGTACATAGCATATAATAGCACAGAGCAAGCTGCTTGTCCGACCCTTGGGGTAATGTCCTCCTCGCCGGATCCTCCAGCAGCGCTGGTGGGCCAGTACGGTCTACCTGCGGGTCTTTCTGCCGAAGAAGGTGAGAGAGACATGTAGATGCCTGCAGTGGGACTGCTGTTGGCGTCTTCAGGCGGTTTGGCCTATTCATCAACGGAATGTTCTTACTTTTGTTCTGTGCACTGCTGCAGCAGTTGGGTACGGGTCAACGGTCAATGGTATTTGCTGCTGCTGCTGCTGCTCTCTCGCCATCGTTGGGCGCAGCAGCCGTTCCGGTACTGGTATTCGCCGTTTCTCCCGCTTTGGTGACGACACATGCACAGGGCTTGATTGCCGCATGTGCAGAGTAAATCAGATGCTGCGTGTGGTGGAGGCGGGTGTGATGTGAGAGGTTCACCTTTCTACTGCTGTAGACTATGTACCCGATGCCGGCTGGGCCGGAACCGGGGGGTTAGGGGCGCGTTAGGGGCGCGTTTTAAACAGCAGCCATTTCGCTTTTCCAGATTTCCAAACTATCAAACAATGTAGTCGATACTTACAGGACTAACCCGTTTCAAAATTTCAAAGTTTCATTTCAAAGTTTCATTTTGCGGCGTCGTTTCCCGAAGGTCCTACAAGTACTGTACAATAAACGTTTCCTCGACCCGGCGCTGTGTGTTCTCTACGGACAGCGGACGGATTCAGAAATTTGAAATTTGAAATTTGGAAGCAAATGTTGATGTTCACATTGAGGGCACGCCCCCCTGCATTGACTAACAGAGACGCTGATGCTGTTGTACAACATCATGTCCTGGCGGGGGCTTCCACCGCTGCCGCATCATGTGCTGAAGGCGATATTATAGCAGAGATACAGTCAACTGCTGTCGTATGTTGTGCCTGATACATCACACACAACGTGAATCTATTCGCTATTGTATCGTGAGCTGTTACATATGCACGGATGGGGTGAAATTATCTCCCGTCTTTGTGAGAAACGCTCCTGAGGACATTCTCTCACGACGACGGTGGGTGGTGGATGCAGCAGTAGTACATGATGTACGCATGTACACACGTGGTTTGCTAGAATACTGCCATGCACGTTTGGTGACAAATCATGTCTGCATATCCAATGGGGTGCCGATTGTACAGCGGTAGGGAGCTTGTCCACCTCCTCACACACCTCCGCGAGGCGATAGGCTGAAAATATCGCCAGCTTTTTTACCCCGTTGCACGAAGCGGAGGAAAGGTTACACAGACATATACCTATCCTAGTGTCTACGCGTAAACAGAAGCGCGTAAGTACAGTCTAAATAGACAACACCATTGTTTTGCCTCATATGATGCAATTCGCGTGCAGATTTCCTCTTTATTGTGGAAAACACACGGGAAAGGCATTTTTTTTCTGGAAACCCGTACCGAATCCAGTTCCGTATCTTCATAGCAGCATTCGCCGGCTTGCCGCCACCCCCCCCCCCCCATCCCCCAGCCGGGCTCTACGTGGACGGCTTAACCCAGACTTGCGCGGCCTTGCGCCGCCGCATCGCCGAGCTCGAGTCCGAGAACCGCGCTCTCCACCAAAGGACGAGCAACCTCGACACCGCAGCGGGGGAGTCAAGCGGTGGGTATGCCGGGGGCTTGTTCGGGGGCGCGGACTCGACGCTGTCGCCGAAAGACATGATGGTGCTCATGTCGCCGCCCGGAGTAGCGGCGGAGAGAATCGGCGGCGGCGGCGGTGTGTCTAGGAGCAAGGACGGTTGCTCCAAGAGCGGAGGGTGAGGAGACGGGCGTGAGTTCCATTGACACATGAAAGCGAAGTGCTATCTATACTACGTATTCTGCGGGGTATGCAGCACCAACAGGTGGCAAAGGCCCTCTTCAGATCGGAACGCATTGGTGGAGAGCATACTGTTGACGTTAGACCCAGTGCAGTTGATTTTTCTCCACCTCGATTCCGTTATACATGTAGCAGATATTGAGTTTAGTTTACCCACCCGTGCGTGTAGCGGTCAAGTCTTCTTCCGTACCGCGAAGGGGGGGGGGGGGGGAGTTGACCATTCTGCGCCGCCCCTCACCCCCCAACATGTCTTCATCGATGCCAACACATGCCGCCGGACAAAACACAAAGCGGTCCGAGGGCGAGGCTGTCGTGGATGGCCGGGAGGCCGGGGAGAGGTTCGACCGCGCCGAGGGATTCAGAGGCAGGGGGTTTCCCCATTGGGGCAGCCCAAGGGTTGGAGGAAAGCCCCCCCAGGGGTGTATGCTTGGGTTGTTGCAGGGCCCCGTTTTTGCCCCCGGTAGGTTTGTTCTTTTTGATGGGCCCGGGGGGGGGGGGGGGGGGCTTGGGTAGAGTGCGGAAAGCAAACGGGTGCGGGGGGTCGTGGCTGCTGAGGGCGTCAGGGTGTGCCAGAAACAAGCAGATTGTGTAATGGCAAAATGGGCTATGTATGTTTCACTGCATGTGACACC